GGCACGCTCTTGATCGAAAAACAATTTGCCTGAATCAGTTATGTAATATTTTTCAAAAAAGCATACCTACTGAGTTTGGTATTTACGTTTAAAATGTTACGACACTTAGGCCGTATACAGAAAGAAAGCCGAAAGCCGATCGGCGCTTATCGGCGCTTATCGGCGCCGATCCTTCCTACATAAAGGAAGCCGATTAAAGCAGATCAAGCAAAATGTCGGACTCAACGGACGATGATCTGGTTTTGTTACAAAATGTGTTATTAAAAATGCGAAAAAAAGCTATAAGTACATCCTATAAATAGAGAAAGGAAACGTTTCGGAGAATACCATCATTTATTAGTAAAAAAATTGAAATTTGATGAACAAAGATTTTATACATATACAAGAATGATTCAAAAACATTTTATTACATTTTGGATTTAGTGAAAAACCGTTTGATGAAAAATTGGTGCAATTGGCATAAACAACCAATCCTTCCAGAAGAAAGACTTGTTGTCACCATTCGGTAAGTACGAAACAAATAATTTTAGCGCTTAGTTAATAAAAGATAAAGTTATTAGATTTATAAAAAGATTATAACTTAGATTGATTTAATCTAAGCATAATAATTCAAATACAAATTATTTATTATTCGGACCAGCGCGTGTCGGCGCTTATCGGTGCGGATAGGCGCCGATCAGCGCCGATCGGCGCCGGTCCATAGAAAAAGGATCAGTGCCAATATCAGCGCCGATCGACTTTCGGCTTTCTTTCTGTATACGGCCTTAGGTCTAGTAATTAGATAGATTACGCTGACCGCCGGGTCGGTCGGCCTGGATTAACGAGGCATCAATATTTAATTAATTACAGTTTTCACATTTACTTTTTTTGCGGTTGATCGATACCCAATTTTTTCACACTTAATTCAATTGATTGATGTTATTTCATTGTAAAGTTAAGCATCGCGAAGTGTTGATCGCAATGGTTCGAGTGCAGTTAAATGTAAAAATGTTTTGATATAAAATTATCTCGTGTTTTTTATTTCCTAGAATGGACAGCATGCCTTAATCTCAAGGTTAATGCGTCTTATTGTTATACATAAAAGGTGCCGTTAACGCAGCGCTTACGACTTTCTTGAATGTCACAAAACATCAACGCGAATTAACAAGGTTTAAATATAATTTATCAAGGCCAGTATTTCACTGCAAATCAAAAATAATGTCGTTGTGTTAAAAAAAATATTCCCAATCCTTATTGCAAGTAAAAATACTTATTGCACAGCAAAATAGTCACCTCAAAATATTGTTATATTGGTAACAATTTAAGTTCATGATGCATCGCTATTTCTTTAAAACTAAAGCTTTTTTATTTAAGAATGCATATCTAATAATGAACTCTCAACAAATCTATTACATTATTTTTAAAAAAATGCTGCCATACATTTTTCTTGTACAGCAGTTTACCTAAGTGAAACACCATTTTAATGGTCATAAGAATTTAATTACTTATTAATTACGACACAATGAGATCAACAATCAACTATAACATCTAATACAAAAAGTACGGCAATTAAAGCAGGTCTTGCTCTAGTGGGACGTCCACGCTTCCTTTTTTGTCCGATTGGTATATTTTTGGCCTCTGCAGGTGCTGTCACATACTGGAGCTCGATCGTAAGGCCAATGATATGCTTGAACCTACAGTTTTTGAAAAAATGGGGGCAGGTACACTTACCATTCATCCAGGCACTTGTTTGCGTGGGCAAAACAACTCTGCAATGCAAGAGCATTATTTTATAACCATCAAAAGTGTCCCAATGTCGAGCAAGTTTTGAAATGCTTAATGGGAAAGCTGTTGCAAAAATAGTTATTTTGTTATGGGTGTGAGTATGATGCGTCGAAGCCCTGGTTAATTCTCTGTGCAATCGGTATATTTGCTGTGCAATCAGTATATTAGATATGAAAATCAAATGTCTATACAATTAAACAAGTTTTTTGTCGAGCGCTAGAGAAAAAATGTACTACAGATTCATCATCATCATCAGCCCATTTTAGTTCACTGCTGGACTCTCCAAATGCACGCCACTCAGATCGATCTTGGGCTACTCGCATCCAGCTCCTGCGCTAATACAGATTAGATATATATATATATTGATTATTTTTAGCGCTAGTTTTATTCAACAAATGGTTTATTTGCAGTTAATTAATTAATTTGGTGATAAGTTATTTGCTGTGCATTTAAAAATATCTCATTTATCAATACTTGTGACCGAATACTTTTTATGTTTTGTTTACAAACAAGCTGTCACAAAAACTGACTGTGTTTATCTACACAACTGATAGATAATAATATATCATAAAAAAACCTATGACCCAATAAATGTGTCAAAGTTTCTTATTACTTTAATATAAGGGATTATACTGGCACTTTCTATTGGTACGCAGTCGGACTGAATTTTATCAGCTTTCTGCTGCCGATCAGATCTTCCCCAAAAACATCGACTTCGGTCGGTCCTGAGCTGTTCGCATCTATCGACTTCCCACGCCCTTCACTAGATCGTCTTTTCGCGATCTCATTTTATACGTTTGCGAGTGGAAATTTGTCATAGAGATTTTTTTTATAGACGCTTGAACAGCATCACAACGGACGTAACGAGAATAAAAAATCAGAAGCATAAACTTTTTGACTTTGACGCGTATCAAGATTAAATTCTACTATTCGTATCCGATAGTGGTTCGTGCCGGGGAAGGTCCGGTTCCCTCGCTACGTTTCCTGCTCACCGCCAATTCAGTACCCTGAGCACGAACTAGTATCGAATTCGAATTGTTTGCGAGTCCTAAATGTTATGGTCAAATTTTGTATAGAAACTTGAACAGCGGCGCTATATTGGACATGACGAGAACTAAAAATCAGTACACATTTGACAATGAAAATACAGCAGAGCGGTCCTTCGAGCGATGTCGATTTTATAATAGTAATAGTATTTTTTATGCAAAATAGGCAATGCGTTTGACCACAATCTCACCTGATGGAAAGCGATGATGAGGCCTAGGATGGTACACGCCTGCCTAAAAGATGCCTGTTCACTCTGGCCTTGAAGATGTCCAGATTATATTGGTCCGGGAAAACAGACCTCGGCAAAGAGTTCCACTCCCTAGCCGTTGGTTTACTGCTCAAACTACAGCAGCTAAATTAAATATTAAACATCTTGATTTCCATACTAGAATAATAAACCTTGTATTATAGAGATCAGTGTCCGCTCCCAAAGATATCTCCAAAATAGATTATAATGTTTTTTGCAGTTATACTTCTTTAGGCGCGTTATGAAAAAATGATGAGAGTGAAATTTTAAGATGCGCGCGCATCACTGTAACACCAAAATTAACAGCATGAAGTTGGTCGCTTTAGCGGTGCTAACGACTGCATTGTGAAGGCCTATCAAAAGTATTTATTAATCTGGAACAACGGAACCAAAGCGCGATTCAGGAGACTACAGCGCCATCTCTTGACCATTGGTGTAGTAGAACCAAAAACCACATCTTTATTTTTTTGTCAACTGAATGTGTGTGTTTGATGCTAAGATTAAAACAAAAAGGGAAGATACGGCACTCGCGGCTCATAAATGATCCGCATGACCACAATTCGCTTTAGTCACAATTTGACATTCAAACACGATGCATGTGCACTCAATATAACAATATTGCGTATATTCTGCGTTATTAAGATGAAACAATGCTTTCGATGCTTTTATAAAGAACACAAATAGTTTAAGATCAAATAACAAATGCGACGGCAACACTTTTCATCCGTAAAACTATAAAAATATTTTTTTCTCAAAAATCACGGTTTGCCATGAATGTTAGCTACTGATTAGCCATTTTTTATCAAGAAAGGGACAACAATACAACTCAGCCGTCTGTAGAGAGAGAAAAGAAAACACAGTCGGCTGCAAAGGGGCCGTCCATATATTACGTCATTCTAAATTAGGGGGGGGGGGGGTGTTTCGAAATTGACGTCATTCTTATTTATTTATTTATTTATAGTTTGTTGTTCACGTACAGAAAGATTATTTCTAAAAAGAAATTCTTCCAGCACACCTAGTAAGTGAGACTGCAAATGTTAGAGGCGGCTAAGGCGTTACAATACTAAAATAACTCATATAAACATACATACTCTAACAATAATATTACATATAATACTAGCTTTTCTCAAATCTGCAATGTTTTAATTTTGTCTAACTGGTAATGACGTCAATTTTGGGAGAAGGGGGGGGGGGGGGGGTCATTAAGAAATGACGATAGGATGATTGTAGGGGGGGGGGGGGTCTAAAATCTGAAAAAATCGATGACGTAATTTATGGACGGCCCCAAAGCTACGCGGCCTAGCGGCGTTTCGCTCGCGCTGCGTTGAAGCGTATAATTCTGTCTCGCTCGCTCGATTTAATGTTTATTCACAGAAGGGGGCGTGTGTGAGAGTTGCTTATGTAGTTGAGTCGCATCATATTTTATTTGATGCAAGTATGAGCGTGCCGTATCTTCCCTTATTGTTTTTGATTTAAAGTTGTATGAGTGGTTAGTTTAGTTCTCCTGCTAGTTTCCTCTACTGATTCCGTCGCGTGGTTTAAACGTTTATATAGGTACTAGCGGTCCGCCCTCGCTTCGCTTCGGTGTAGAGCTGAAGTGTAGACTACAGTTTTTGTTCTCAGGCTTGTATTATACACAATGATATTCATATATGATTCCTCTCATACCTGCATGCAAAGTCTCAGCCCGATCGGTTTAAAATTGACAAAGTTTCATACAAACTTTCATTCCCTATTTTATCCCCTTGCGGGTAGAATTGATCAAAATCCTTTCTTAGCGGATGCCTACGTCATAACATCTACCTGCATGCTAAATTTCAGCCCGATCCGTCCGGTGGTTCGGGCTGTGCGTTGATAGATCACTATGTCAGTCGGTCACCTTTGAGTGTTATATATATAGATTTGTTTATGAATGTCGGTCGGTCGGTGTGATGGTTTCCAGAGAGGAGAGTAGCAGCAAGCCCCTTCCTTACCCTGGTGGTGGGGGTGGGGGTGGGGGTGGGTCGGCGGGCCCCATCCTGGTGGTGTACGCGCGCGAGGGTCCCGCGCTGACGCCCTTCATCGATGCCCTCAAACAGTTGCTGGAGACTGTGGCCCCGGGACAGGTGAGCTGTAATAGATAAACGCTAGCGGAGCGCTGTGCTTTTTAGGGCTCCGTACAAAAACCCCAGGGTGAAAACCGGACCCTTTCCTGAGACTCCCCTGTGCGTTGCGGTTGCTATAAAACAAGGGCTTCCGAATAACCTAGATGTTTTTTTTTGTCGGTTTTTGGTCTGTATGAACAACGGCAATATTAGACGTTCGAATCGTTCATAGAATATTTAGTTTAATAATAAATAATTGAATTAAAATAAATAAATTTTGAGGAGCTCGATGGCGCAAATGGTCAGCGCGTTCGGCTGCGATCGTTGCAGTTATGCAACTTTCATTGAATGGGTGGGCAAACGATTTACTATCTCTCCCTCCTCCGTGCTTCGGAAGGCACAGTGAGCCGTTGGTCTCGGCTGCATCTGTAGTCGTCGGTACCTACCCGCCAACCTGCACTGGGCCCGCGTGGTGGGTCATAGCCCAATCTCCCTATTCCATCCATAGGGAAGGCCTGTGCCCCAGCAGTGGGGTCATGAATAGGCTGATGATGATGATGATGATGATGATGATGAAATTAATATTTAACGAGGGCTGTCATACAATAGACGTGACTTTTTTGCCTTTTTCACTCGGTGTTATAGTGTCAAATGTTGTATAGTAATGGTACTGAACCTTCATGCACGAATACGACTCGCATTTGGCCAGTTTTTATTTGTACTGTAATCCTTTTTATTGTGTTATCTCTTATCTATTAGACAAGTCCGTCCGTCCGTCTGTCTGTGGTGCTGTTTCAGCGCCCAAACCGTAAGAGATAGATAAAGAGAATATTTAAGTAATAAGTTAAGAATAGTGTGATAACACTACAAACCGGAATTGAGTAACGTAGCACTTCCGGTTTTCGAGAAATCACGAATTTCAAACGAAACCACACAAAATCTCCGAAGTTCTCAATTAATTAAATACATTTTTTTTGTTTTGTGGTTATTTTTGACGTGACAACGTCTTAAATTAGGTTGCGGCTGGGAGTCACTTATGAAAAAGTGTAACGCTCGGTAACGTTACGATGAGTTTAAGTTTACATGTACAATGTTTTAGTAAACAAAATATATTTCTATAGTTAAAATTTGTGCAATTCTTATTTTCATTCAATTCCTTGTTCCTATTGTGCAATTTAATTATATTCATATCAATAAATATTCTACCGAGAAAAAGACGTTGTCACGTAAAATCTTCGCCCGTAAAACCGACTTTACAGGCAACCATTTTTTTGGTTGGTTTTGGTGAACATTTGGTTCACTGGTTTGCTAGTTTATAACTAATTTCTATAATCAAATTCTAATAAGAGGTAACTACCGGAACTGTGTTGCTAAGATTCTTATTTATTTTTATTTCTTATTTATTTTCTAAGAAAACCAACAGCGTTTTTCCGATACAAAATTTACAATAGGTACATTTCTAAAAGTATAGCCAATGACAGGTTTTCCTTAACTAGATTAACAATAGGTGACTTATCATTGGTACTTCTATCCATAACAAGCGGGCATCAAGCAATCCATCTGCATATAATCGTGATGTAATCTTATAAAAGTAGTAGGTATAAATATCATAAATAGAGCACCATAGCAATCTCATTTATTATCAATTTACAGTAATTTCTAAGTAAGTATTTTAACTAAGTATTTTAGTGTATTTTATAGTTTTATGATGTGAAATTACTATAAATTGATAATTAATATCATAAATAAAATGTAATATTTACACATATACATAATTATACTTAGTATGTAAGACTAATAAGGTATAATGAATACTTTTTTCTGTTCTGTTTATTCATCTAATATCTTGCGTATATATACGATACTTTTAAATATAAATAAATTTAAGTATTTACCCTTTTCATTCCTTTTCCTGTAGTCTATTTTTTATTTCATGTTTGAATTTAGTTTTTGTGTTTGCAAAAATATCAATATTGTGAAAACATGTATGTCCTGACAATTCGTGTGAGTACCGAGTTCGATGAATAATTGCTGTGGTGCAGTGGAACATGCAAAAGAGGTGTGTTGCGAGTGCGGTATTTTGGTGTACGGTACTTGATTTTTGACACTAATGCAGTACAATCTATTTTACTGTGCACAATATCATACAGCAAACACATATCCATTAATACGCGTCTCTGCTCAAGCGGCAGCAATCCGTGTTCCTTACATGCGTCTTCGTAAGTTTTAAAATTGCTACGAGAGCGATAATTGAGATGGTTGAACCACCCATCCAATGACCGACCACTGCGAAATTTGCTTAAGTTCAACGATCGCAAGCGAACGCGCTAACCCCTTGCGCCATCGAGCTCCTCTGCTTAGTAATGGAACTGGATTATTCTTACTTTTTACTGGAGGTTAATTATTGAAACCGGCCGTTAGGGGAGTCATTCATAAAGTACGTCACACTAAATTCGTGATATTTTTACTCCTCCCCCGTCACAGTTGGTTACATTTTGTGAGTCCCCACCTCTCCGTTTCTCTAGTGTGACGTCACATGTTTTGTTATAATGCATTTAAATTTATTTTTATTCAAACAGCGATTCCGTAATTAGTTTTGAAAATTATCAAATCAAATCTTTATTGCGAATACAGGTTACAGATTTGTTATCCAAATACATTTTATTACAGTACAGCCGTATTCTGCCTTATCGGCATGCAATATAATATTTCTATAAATCATTAATTGATTCAATGTCAAATCAATAAATTTTACATACATAGTTTATTCAAAATGTCAATAAAGATCGACATCAAGAGGACATCGGTCAACTCCCATACATCGTTTAATTTCAAATTAAATTGTGGCGTCTTTCAACAAATGATGTATCATTAGATTCTGCGTAATTTAATGTTAATGATTCCGAGGAAAAAAGATATTTTGCTCTGAACATTTATTGGTTATGTTAATTTGACATTTTTATTACGTATATCTGTATTACATTTTTTCATTACAGTAAGTGATTTTTTGCACAGAAAATACGCTATTCCGCACTTTAAAATATACGCTATTCCGGTCAAGTGGACGTGAGAATTTTATTGTAGTATTGACTACCTCACAGAAACTTACCTGAAAAGCCAACTCGATACATTTCGTGTCAAACACTCCAAGAAACATTAGAATGAGTCACACCGATATTGTAATGTAAAAAAACGAAGATTAATAAAATTAACGACTTAGCTTAATGGTCATTGTTCCCTTTGCCTTCCCCGAAAAGGGAGAATCTTAAAAAAAACATTCTAACCTGTCCTATTTGTTAAACAATCTTGGCACAACTTTTTAACGAAATCACCAATTTAAAAATAAAATAATAACCTAGTCAATAATCTATTACAATAAATCGTTATTATAGACTGAAACCTTTTGAATCTAGTTATCAGTTGATTTTTAATGCTGTATTTTCAATAAAAAGAAGTGCCAAGATTGTTTACCAAAAAGAGGACAAGTTAGGATGAATGTCAATGCAGTGTTTTATATTTTTTTTATTTTACTCGGCTTTTATTTGTGTCAATTACAATTTGTAATAACCGTTTAAATTTAATTAATAATATTAGTAAAAATAGATATTCTAGGCGTTCAATTTTGATCCAAATATGGTTTGCCCGATGTCCAATGTCTAAAAATTTAAATTAACCAACAAAACCAATAAAATGAAAACATTTTTAATATTTTAAATCTTTTGAAGGTGTTTTTTATTATAACAGTTCAAAAGTACTCGTTTCTTGCAACGACGTATCGTCGTGAATCTTGGAACTCCTCCCACCCTTGGTCACACAATGTCACACTTCGTCGGCTTTCCCCCCTCATCGCGTGCTATAGTTTATGTCCGACACCTGAGTCGCGTTCGTTTGTGATCAGATCTACGACCTTTACGATCCGTCGACTACCGCCCTCGCGGCCAGCAGCGGCGACGCCTGGGTGCGAGCCATGCTGGCGCGACGCGACACCCGCCTGGTGTTGCTGCAAACCCCGGCCCTGCAGGCTACCGTCAACCACACTGTCAACTGTGAGTATCTCCTGACGCTTCCATAGAAAAATAATGCCAGATTATCCTGCTTGAGGCGCTGGCCCGGAACAACGAATCGAGACAGCTGTCAATGTTATTAGGAAAACTTTTTTTTGACGTGACAACGTCTTAAATTAGGTTGCGGCTGGGAGTCACTTATGAAAAAGTGTAACGCTCGGTAACGTTACGATGAGTCTCGTAGCATGCTGGAACCCCGTAGCCGTGTAGCAAGTTTGCTACGAATCGTCGTAGCGTGGTTGCATGCTACGATGGTATTCACAAGCACAATGCATTGTAATATGTTTTTTTGACGTATTATATATATTTCTATAGTTAAAATTTGTGCAATTCTTATTTTCATTCAATTCCTTGTTCCTATTGTGCAATTTAATTATATTCATATCAATAAATATTCTACCGAGAAAAAGACGTTGTCACGTAAAATCTTCGCCCGTAAAACCGACTTTACAGGCAACCATATTTTTTTTTTGTTGACGGTGGAAAATGCATTTATGCACCATACTGCGCGCTCGCTTGGCGCGCGACGTGTGTGGGATTCCCCGGCGCGGAACAACGCCGCGCCGGTCCTACCCACTAAGAACCACCGGGTCCCTTCTCGGCTCTTATGAGGGCGCTCTGGGATCGGCGTACCTACGTGCGCCACTACACCGGAGTGTCCCCGGGCTCGCGAGTAGACCGGACGCGGTCTATGGGGGATCACTCTAGGGTACTAGGTAATCCCCAGACGGGGTGGCTCCCTTTTTTTTTTTTGAAGTGAAACTTTTTTATCGACGTTGGAAAAAAATTTACCGTCACATTTTTTCGGACGTTACGCGTCACGTTTTTTGGTTACGCGCCATCTTTTTTTTAAAAGAGCACTATTTACCTCATCCGAACGATTGCTTCTTTTGTCAACTTTAAAAAAAAAAGTATCGACAGCAAATATTCGCGTTTCACACAAGGTAAAGTAAGGTAAGGTAAGGTGTAGTTATACCCTTTTAGTGGGTGAGTTTTTGAAAAATCTTAGCGCACGCCTATATATATATTTCTGGAAGGTTGCATGTAGATCATTTTTCGAAAATAATAAGGCCATAAAGAAGTTTCACTTCTTACGTGTGTACACTAGTACACGCACACATTTTTATTTTGTGACGAGGGGAAATGCAGTTACGCACCATACCGTGACGCTGACTAGGCGCACGGCGTGTGTGGGACTCGCCGGCGCGGGAAACAGTGCCGACCCTACTCAAGCAGGACCAGTGCGGAAGGCCACACTGATCCTACTCCACTAAAACCCCCCGGTACCCTCCTACGCCCATATGGGGGCGTCTCAGGATCGACGCACCTTAGCGTGCGCCACTTCACTGGGATGCCCCCGGAGATGGCCTATGCCGAATGGCACCAAGGACGCGCGGCTGGCATGCCGCCCAGACCACCTTAGGGCCGACGAAGATCTGCGGACAAAGCCGCCTGCCTTCTTCGGCCCACCCGTCTACGTCGGAGGGGAGCGGCCGGAGCGTTCTCCTCCCGCTCTCTCTCCGTTGCCTCCTTCTGCATCATCACAACCTCGCAGAAGGAGGCGGCAACCTTCCGTGCTCTTTCATTGCCAAGCATGGCTCTAACCATGCTTGGCAATGAGAGCGGTCCACCGCCGAGCGCCGCCACCGATGTGCGGCGCTCGTTTTATTCTTTTTTATCAATCATGAAAAAAAATAAAAAATAGTAAAACGTACATTAAAATGTGCACTGTAAACGTGTACTTGAACTGTCCAAAACCGCTCTATTGGATTTTTCATACCTGCGAAATTTATAACTTGAAAACGGTAAGTAATACAAAAAAATTGTTTATACAAAAGTTGTTGGTAATTATGTACGGAGTAACTTTTCCATTTAAAGTTTTCCATTAAAATGATAAAGTGATATTTTCAGGGTGAAAAAGTGAAAAAACACTTTTTTTGAGACTTTAGCGCCACCTACCTGCAATGCGCATTTTTTGATGTGCGACATTGCAACAATGACATAAATCGTAGCACTCAACGCCCTCTACAATTATGGTCGAAAAAAAAGTTTCTAAAACGCATACAAAACAAAAATTCGTTTTCAAAAATTTTTTGAGGGTATTTTTGAGTTTTTCAAAAATCGCCTACGAGTTGAACGTGCCCATCGCCAAGGTGGTTTACTGACGTCATTTGGCAACAGAAAAAACAAGACTTACCCTATAGGTTTTTTTTTCACCACTCAACCTATAGATTTACTGTACTAATGAGCGTGTGCTCGGCCGTGTCGTCGGGGGAGGCGCAGTGATGACACCGCGGCGTCTCCTCCCGACGGGCGACTCGGTGCAGGTAGTGGCCGAAGCACCCGTGTCCGGTCAGTACCTGCACCAGGGGGCCAATCGCCTAACGGAAATGCTTTGGGAAACGCTAACGCTTACGATTTTATATTGTTATTTCTAGCCGCCTGAGGTTTTCGAATACCTCACGCTCATTTTTTTTAATATTGTTATTACCAATGCAAAAGAAAAGGAAAGAGCGCGAGGCATTTGAATACCTCAGGCGGCTAGAAATAACAAAATAAAATCGTAAACGTTAGCGTTTTCCAAAGCATTTCCGTTAGGCGATTGGCCCCCAGGCGGTAGGTGAAGGTGCCCCGCTGGCGCCCCACCCACTCCTCCAACACCGGACGGATCGCCTCGATCGTCAAAACAACTGACGACAACGGCAACTGTAACAAATGTCTGTCATTTTATATATAAAGAATTTTTTACTAGATAAAACTCCAAGCGGACCAGACAGCAGACGAGATTCGAACTCGCACCCTCCACTATCCGATCAGCTGTACTGACCGTTATGCTACCGCGGCCCTGATTGTCCGTGCCCGATGGTCTCTTTCTAGTATTTCTTCTTTCGAATGTTTAGTACTTTGTTTAACATTGTGGAATACCTACGATCTGAAAAGATGGCGCTGCCTTGCAATTTAAAAAATACTAGAAAAAAATCGACACACACAATTAGGGCCGCGGTAGCATAATGGTGGGTGCATCCGCCCGGATTTGAGTCCCGTCTGCTGCCTGGGAGCCGTTCGCCTAATGGATGCGCTTTGGAAAACGCTAACACTTTCAATTTTATTTTGTTATTTCTGACCGCCGAAGGTTTTCAAATACCTCACGCTAATTTTTTTTAATATTATTATTACCAATGCAAAAGAAAAAAAAACGACGCATTTGAGAACATTAGGCGGCTAGAAATAACAAAATGAAATCGTAAGCGTTAGCGTTTTCCAAAGCATTTCCGTTAGGCGAATGGCCCCCAGGTCCGCATGGATTCTTTTCTAATAAAAAAGGGGATGAAAGATTGTATGAAAAAACATATTCTTTGAGTTAATAGATTTAAAACTTGAGAGTTAGCTATAATGTGAAGGTGCTGCCCTGCAGCTTAAGAATGGCTAGAAGAATTTAGGCGCGGCTATTAGGGCCACGGTAGCATAATTGGTCAGTGCATTCGCCCGGATTGCGAAAGGTGCGGGTTTAAGTCCCGTCTGCTGCCTGGTCCGCGTAATTTTTTTTTCTGGTTATATTTTCTGTAGATTTAAACATGAAGCAGTTACATGTTTAAAAAATAAAATTTATAACTCGAGAGTTACTAAATCTTTGATGATTTAGTCATCATACGACTATGTATGTATCACCACTGCCTCAAGATAAATTTTCCTTCTAAAAACTTATTTTAACTGCCTAAATTTTAGACATTAAATATGAAAAGTATCAAGAAGAAGGTTAGCTCGATAATACATTAAATGATTCTTAGCAAGGAAATTCTCTGCTAAAATTAATCTGCGCACATCTAGTACGACGAAGGTTCATGTGAAGGGTTTCTCAATTCGAGATCTATGCATAAGTTCTTGAGTTCATACGTTTTGATTTTCGTTCCGTTAACAGCATAAATTGCGTAATCGGTATTACAGATATGTCTGCTCCGGTGTGTAATAAAAATTGTGTCCCACTCTTACGGTCCGTGTTCGTGGTCCGTCAACACCTTTATTTACACCTTTTAATTTTATGTAGATAATTGTTTACACGTTGATAAGTTTTATGAGTTCATGACGCATCTGTAAAATTGCAATGCTAATAATTTGTTTAACACTTATACGATTGTCAAACAGAAACTATGCGTCCAAAATGGCGGAAATTTTAGTGCCAATCTGTCAGCGCATGCGTTAACATATTTCCCAACAAAACTAACATAGTTTAAAATAAATTGTTACTAACATATATGAGACCATGTCTTGGAATAGAAGTTTTTTTTTATTTTTTATTTTTTTTATTTTATTATTTATAAATTGATTAATGCTGACATCATCAGTTTGAGGTCGGAAACTTTTCAAACGACCCTAGTATTTGCTAACATACTCAGGACTCGGTTACGCCCTCCCCGCAGCCGATGCACCGGTGACGCGAGTTTTTACGCAAACGTTCCAGATGCACTACAGTAGCGTGGAAGTCGAAACAGAGCCTGAATATATCATTATACCTAACTTTACTATAAGATGCTTTGGATAGGTTACAGCGGCGTGCCACTGTATCCACTTTGTTTGCACAGATAGCATTTGTAAGAATTATAAACTTGGTCCACCTTCATGTTATTTTTTTAAAGTTTATCGTCACATATATCCTGGGTATCGATTCTGACACGATTCTCTAAACTTAAAATTAAATTTAACATCAGTCTCTCCTTTTCATTCTGTATGGAGAATGACAAGGATAGACTGTTGTCAAATTTACGTTTAGGTTTAGAGAATCATGCCAGAATCGACACCCTGTTCTAATGTATCTTTATTTACATTCGAGATGTACAGTGGAATCAACGTTTCTGCCGCTTTAAATTTCATGTCTCGCTCATATTCTTCTTTTCTTCAATGCTTCATGCTTTCTTCTAATGAATCTGTAATATCTATTTTCGTCAAACAGTCCGAAATAACAGAAGGAAATCGTAAGATTTAATCATAATTTCGTAAGGCGATCAGTCCCCATGCGTCGATATTTTTCTTGTTAAATTTTCTTTAGATTTCAACATCGAGGACTTGAATGATATAAGTAATCGTTTTGATTCGCAGCGGAAGAGCCTCTGTTGGGCCGTCGCGGCGTGTACCGCTGCCCATTGGCTGGCGATTGGCTGCTGCCCCTCGTCATAAGGATCGCCACCTCACACAACCCGCCCGCGCCCTACCGACACTACTACCTGGCAACGTACGTACCATGTGCCGTCTATACAATAGGGATGATGACTAATTTTTTTTTCTTCGTTTATCAGGTAGATTATCAAAAAGTATTGGACACGTATTTTATCTTTTTTCACATAATATACACATTGCAGAGATATCTTGATTTGAAAAGTCGCATGACGTCACGTTTGAGTACACTTATAAGGGAAAATTCACTCAAAAGTGACGTCACGAGCCCCTACTCCCAAACTTTGACGCGCTATAACTTTGTCATTTTTTGGTTGATTGCCCAAAGAAAAAATATGTGTCCATTATTTTTTGATCATCTAACTGACGGACTAAATAGAATTTCGTTTACTGTAGCCCGTCATCACCCCTATTACAGTGAAACCTGGTTAATGAGGGCTATCGTTTTTTGTCTCACCAGATGGCGCCACTGTTGAGTGAGGTCCTGAAATGTAGCTTTTAAAGTTAGTAAACACGCTCGTGATATCAAAGTTTACATTTTAATACAAAAGAATCGTATCTTAAACATGATCGCCCATGCCACAGTGTTGCGCGGTCCCGCTTTGTTCGGAAAAAAGAAGGACAATATTTTTTCTTAGCTCCGCTTTTAAATAACTGACAATCGTTGACACGTAACTCATATTTGCCATAATAAGTCTGATTTATTACCAAATATTCACAACTATTATTTTAATTAGAAAAAAACCGCGTAGTCAACCCGCAAGCTATAACATTTGACATTTCGGAGACCTCACGCAACACGAGCGCCTCTAGCGGCGGTTTCAGAAGCGATAGCCCTCATTGGCATCTCAAGGGACCAAGACATATGTACCGATTATTGAGGGTATCCAATAATCCAGTTTTCCAATTAAGCAGGTTTAAAATTATAGTTGTCTCATTTACAGAGGCCCCGCTTACAGAGGTCGAAATGTGCCGTTATTCCATTTTTAGAGTACTGACAAACAAAGCATGCGCGAAAGACGACGCGAAATGTATGTAAACAAACATGTCGAAACGTGTTACGACCTGATTGATTAGTCTCACTTGTACAGGTGATTGAGCTACAGAGTCCAATTATAGAGGTAAACATCGAAAGAGTCTTAGAATTCAAATCTCATTTAACCAGTTGCAAAAAATCCCATTAACAGAGGTAATTTAATGAAAAATAACCGGGACCTCATTGTAACTCTCAATAATAGAGGTTTCTCACTTATCCAGGTCCCACTTAACCAGGTTTCACTGTATAAGTAAACTAAGAGTAAGATTAACCCAGTTACGCCATGTACAGTAGAATCCGTTTATTATGACTCCGCCTATATTGACCAACCGCCTATTGTGACGTAATAACACGACGAAGTTTGGTTTTCATATAAAATTCATTGTAACAATGTCGGATATAATGACTTCGCTTACGGTGACATGTCGCTTATTATGACCCTTTTTAAATCAATTTTGTCCGTTTATAGTGACCGACATGGTTCTTTACACCTACGGTAATGTTCGTCGATTCAAATTGAACATCGAGCATTGTTTTTAGTGATATGCTATGTAAAAAAATGTCATCTCAACGTCGTAAAGCATTTACGACTGAGGAAAAAGGTGCAATAATATGCTGATTAGAAAATGGAGAATCAAACTCATCTCACAATCTTTTTTCACAAAAATGTTTCGTATGACGTCCGCTTAGTATGACGTGTTTGTCGATTCCCTTCGCAGTCATAATAAACGGATTGTACTGTAGTTGATTGAAGTGGCAAATCGGTTTTTGCCAGAAAAAATAACATCATTCTTCATTTTTCTCCGAACTCCGATTCGCTGCACCGAATGATCCAAAATGATAGCGTTCGCGCTTCAACTAGTTTTATAAACGTGCTAGAACAATGTTCTTGTACCTTTCGACAAAAGGGAAATGCCAGCAATGGCGTCTTCCGTTATAGATACTCAAAGCTCAAAGAGACTACCACTTTTCATATAAGTGTCACTCAATTCATTCTCTATCGGCTAGCGCGGCAGAATATTATAAGAGACCAACCTTGCACCTTGTGAAGTACTCCCATACCCTAGCCCTTTATATGGAGCCGAACGACTAGGACAAGAAAATTGAGAAGGGTTGTTTCGTGAACCCTCCAGGAGCTTTTAATCAAGACTGTCAGTTTCGATGCGACCAAAAGTCATGGCTCTTTTTGAAGTTATACTTCTTTAGGCGTGTTATGAAAAAATGATGAGAGTGAAATTTTAAGATGCGCGCGCATCACTGCAACACAAAAATGTTACTTTTGTGTTTACCGCACATTAAGAAAATCTACCAACAAAATAGAAATAGAATCTCTATTTTGTGGGTGCTAACGACTGCATTGTGAAGGCCTATCAAAAGTATTTATTAATCTGGAACAACGGAACCAAAGCGCGATTCAGGAGACTACAGCGCCATCTCTTGACCATTGGTGTAGTAGAACCAAAAACCACATCTTTATTTTTTGTAATAAAGTAACAGTTATAGGTATTCATATTTATAATATTTATCCACATGTTCCTAGTTTGTATATTCGGAATACGTGTTTGAGTTTCATACAAGTGCAAATCACATATGTTCTAATAAATTATATTCAGTAGCGATTTTAATTGAATATTTTGATTATTTATTTATTTTTTCAAATTAAAACTGAACTTTATTGACTGTGTCCTTTTCCAGACTTTTTATTAATTTATTGTAATTAATTATTTGCATGCAATTAAAAACTAATTTTAAACGATGCCAAAGAAGGATAACTTCTCACGCGCCTACATAAGTACACGCACCCATTTTTTTTTATTGTCCTAGACGTTCAGCCCTTAAAGGGCTCTCCGGTTTGGTGGAAGTACTTCACAAGGTACAAGGTTGCCCCTCTTATATTATTTTCAAATTCCCCACCTGGGTTCTCCTACTATAAACAGCCTCCAGTAAAAGGCAAGACTCTGTTTTAAATTACAGTTGTTATTAAAATCTGGATAATGAAAATTTTTTAGGTAACAAAGCTCTAATAGTAGTTGACATAGCTCAATATCCAATAATTAAACTACAGTTAGAGTTTAAGTATTGGAGGATATTGAACAGAAATGCTGAATACACGTGATATGATAATTTGTTTATAAATATTTTACTTAAAGAATTATCTTGAGCTGTTCACTATTCCTAAAATAAATAGATAAATTGAGACTGGTTGGTGTTTAATTGTAACGACGGATCTTTCTTTATAAACCTTATATGGACTTGACGAAGACAATCGTGTCTATTCTGGCATGATTCTCTAAACCTAAACTTAAATTTGACAATAGTGTATCGTTGTCATTTTTTATACAGAATGGAAAGGAGAGATTGATGTTAAATTCAGTTTTGAGTTTAGAGAATCACGTCAGAATCGACACCAGTATATTATCTGCCTGCTAATCTGGGATTTTGCTATACCGGAATATTGCTCGTTTTATAACTTAACAGAATCAACAGTTTCGTTATGGTTTTTTTGTTGGGTTGCCTGGAAGAGATTACTGTTGAGCAATAAGTCTGCATATCGTGTGCGCTTCCACTGTCACATTTTATGTCTTATGTCCTGTGAGATTTATGTTAATAAAGAATATCATTATTATTTTTTTTGAAGGAGCTCGAAGGAGGAGAGTGGTCAGCGCGTTCGGCTGCGATCGTTGAATTTAAGCAACTTTCGCAGTGGTCGGTCATTGGATGGGTGGCCAAAAATCTTCTTCTCGAGTTCCTCCGTGCTTCGGAAGGCACGCTAAGCCGTCGGTCCCGGCTGCATCTGCAGTCGTTAGCACCCACCAATCCGCACTGGGCCCGCGTGGTGGGTCATGGCCCAATCTCCCTATTCCATCCATAGGGAAGGCCTGTGCCCCAGCAATGGGGGCATTAATAGGCTGATGATGATGATGATGATTATTATTTTTTATCCGTTCATCGTTTCTTTTCGCAGGTTGGAGAATCTGGAGACGGAAACTCTGCCATTGACCGTTCCGTTCCGCCGGTACGTGCTTCCTTCGCACGCGCTCTCGTTGCTGCAACACTTATCGCCGTCCCTCTCCGACCCTCCCACAAACGCTGTCCTTCTCACTCCCTCTCCTAGCGAGGCGGATCAACGTCGCTGGATCGATGAGATGGCTCGAGCCGCTATAGATTTCGTTGATTATGCGAGAGCGCATCCTGATTATCTGTCCGAGAATCTTATGTTTATATAGACAATGGTGTCGATTCTGGCGTGATTCATCTAAACTTAAAACTAAATTTAACATCAATTTTTCCTTTTACAATACGATACACGATTCTTTATTGAAAACACCACAGTACAGTACATAAATGGGGTAAATACATTACGTTTAAACATAGTGATTCAATGGGCGGTCTTATCGCTAAAAGCGATTTCTTCCAGACAACTTTTGGATGGAGAGGATTGAAAGAAACTGGAGTCGGTGGTGTTATAAAAAAAAATAAAAACAAGGGATATAAAAATGTATATAAATATATATACATACCATACATAAATAATATATACACATAAAATAACTATAAGATATATACATATGATATAAATATATGACACATACATACATAGACTACACATATATAAGTTCCCGTCCTTTTCATTCTGTATAGAAAATGACAAGCATACACTGTTGTCAAAAATAATTTTAAGTTTAGAGAATCATGTCAGAATTAACACAAATACGTATATAAAACGAATGGAGTAAACGTACAATATCTAAAATGAGCTCCACATGGTTTTTGTTTGCTGCAAACGACAAACACTTGTTGACAAGTGTTTGTCGTTTGCACACCGGTGTTTGAACACCGAGCAAGTTAGATTTTGACATTCACTTGTTTGTGTTTGCTGTTTGCCGTCTATTTGCGGAGCGTGTGTTATCTTAAGTAATTAGTTAGGGCATACAATGTGAATCTGAGTGTACCTTGTCAACTGTGAAAAAATGAAAATGAGTGTGATAGAGATAAAACAATCGAGTGACTGTTAGTTTGTAAAGTTTTTGACTTATGTTTATAAAGATAAAGTTTTGGCGATAGTACGTATAAAAATGGCTGGACTTCTTTTTGAATAATTGTAATGACGAATTCTGTTACAGTGCAGTTATTGCCTAGAAAATATAGGATAAAAGTAATCGAATAAAATTGTATATTTTGATGGGGAGTCCCTTTGCTCGTCCCGTTTTAACGAACGTAAAGTGATTGATGAAAGGTGATCCCGTCGTTCAAACGCAATGTAGATGAGTGTGACGCCGGCATTTCACTCGGCTATTTGTAAACTTGTCATCATTCTGTCCTTATCAACTAGTTTAAAGAGTCCGCTTTACTAAATTTTTGCCTGAAATCAAAGCCAAAAAGAAATCAAAGAAGGTACACTTCAGTCGTGTGGTCATAAGCACACTCTCTTTTTTTGCATATTATTGAGTTAATAGTAGATATCAAAACCCAACTGGTTATCAGCCTCTCTGGGAGAGCACCCAAAGACATCGAGAAGAGTTTCGTATAAGCTTTGCATTTTTATCTTCATGCTTATCTCATTGGAATATTCGAACTGTAAATGTATTGAATAATTTTCGCCAAAAACATCGGCTTATGTAACTATCTATGACAAATCTGTTTACTATAAAACTACAAATATCTGTAAATCTAATGATACGATCTCGTTGAATATGATAAAATGCTGTTCTATGCCCGATAACAAGCAACACATATCTTTACAAACTAATCAATCATAAAGTACTATACAAAAGAATTAAGATATTCTCTTCAAATAAATTGAAGCTAATAAGTACAAGACATTTTAAGATTGAGAAGCATGTATATGAATTGTTTTTTAATATAATCAAAACTTTATTAATGCTGTGGTTATAACAAGTTTAAAACCCTCTAAAAATCTAATGAATGCGTTACATACACCCCTTGTCTTTCTGGTTCTATATTTATATACGAATACGATATTAATAGGGATGATGACTAATTTTTTTTTCTTCGTATATCAGGTAGATTATCAAAAAATAATGGACACTTATTTTTTCTTTGGGCAATCAACCAAAAAATGACAAAGTTATAGCGCGTCAAAGTTTGGGAGTAGGGGCTCGTGACGTCACTTTTGAGTGAATTTTCACTAATAAGTGTAATTTCGTTTACTGTACCCCGTCATCATCCCTATTCTAAAACAATGATTCCTAAAAGGAAAATGTCCAGTGAAATCGTAAATAAAATTATATCCTAAATCGTTTTCATCTTTTTTTTTTATATAAAAGGCTGAACTCCATATATAATGTAAGTTTTTTTATTCGTCTAAGCTCTTGAAAACCACGTAAACAAGTTAGAGATGTCTCATCAATTGCAATGCAATTTTAGATCTTATAGAGATTCCCGTATTTAAGTTACATTTAAGTTCCCTACCATATGAAAATTTATGTAAAAAATAACTTATTACTTAAAACAATGTATATATAAACTAAAAAATGTTAAGTGGTGGCCTTTTCGATCTACTTTGTTAATCTGTTAATGAATAGATGATGGATATACGGTATCAATTATTTAGGTTAGTTTATACAAAATGAATTTTGTAAATAGTTTTATCTTTTGAACCGTTTTTGTACATACTTTTTAAGTGTTCTGATATACATGTGTAAGTTAAAAAATAAGTATAGGTATATATTTTCTTTGTATACAACTTGTGTGTTAAGTCAATAATAGCCTGTTTGACAGTATGAAAGATAATGAACCAATTGTTGGTAGTCTGTGCAGAAAAAGAATGGGATTTAGATTGGAGGGAGCTGTAGTGCTTTTCTACCGTATTTGTAAGGTTTAACCCCTTTTAGACATGATTAAATACAAAATACCGCAAGAAATCACAACAACAAACAAATCCGTATCAATACAGAACTTTGACGTTTTACAGATTGCTGGGTTTGAATGTCAAATAAAAATCTTAATGTTAGTTCCGTTTTTCGCCACGCCCATTCTCTTTCCGCATAGACTCTATCTGTATTTAATATGAATATTAGCAGCGATTTTACTATTCTGGAAGCACAAATAATTAATAACTTTTTTTTAAATCTTTAAATAGAAATGTTTTTTTTTGGGTTATAAAAGTGCAAACATCAGTCTTAATGCTACCAAATTACATCAAACGAGAAGATTTCCTGTAGAGTTACAATGTGTTTTACAGGAACTAACTCAAATAAGAAATTCGTCAAAAATTGCGTATACTTGACCAATGTAATATTAGTCTTGACAAATACCGTGAAACTGTCACCTAGGTAGAGGTGTTTAATATTAAGGATTTGTAAAACGTCTTCCAGCTAACTTCAGTGCTTGTAGCATGAAGTAATATCGAATTCGAATAGTTTGTGAGTGCGAAAGGTCATCGTCAAATATGTACTTATGTTTCTATGTCGTCACGTCTGTTATGACGTTGTTGTTCAAGTTTTCATACAAAATTTGACAGTGACATTTTAACAAATTGACAATGACATCGTGCTAAGGGTAATAGTGTCAATTCTAGCATGGTTCTCTAAACCTAAACTTAAATCTGACAGCAGTATATCCTTGTCATTCTCTATACAGAATGAAAAGGAGAGACTGATGTTAAATTTAGTTTTAAGTTTAGAGAATCACGCCAGAATCGACTCCACTGTGTCCCTAGCACGAAGCAATATAGAATTGGAATAGTTTTACAAGAGCGAAAATCAAATTCAAATCATTTGCCATTGAAATGCCATTGTCAAATTTTGTATGAAAACTTGAACAGCAGCGATACAAAAGACGTAATGAGAACTAAAAGTCAGTTCACATTTGACGATTAACTAGATCGAATTCGATAATGGTTCATGCTTAGGGTACTGTACCCCATACAACTATCGAGAAAGTATTCGTATCGCAATATCAAAATTTCTATCGAAAAAGCTATATGGTTCTTACGTTCGGTAGCGGCGCTGTTTAGTGTTTATAGAGACTTTGACGACGGCGAATTATGATGCTATCAGTTGGTGCTTGGAGTACAGGCCAGTCGAAAATAACTGATGCATTTAGATAAAAGTGGCGAATAATAAATCAGTGATGAGCAAGGAATGTGTTACAAGAACGTTAAGTTAAAATTATTATAGGTGTTTTTTTTTACAAATATTGATATAAACGACGACGACGGTTTGTACGCCGGGTTTCATGGTGTCATCGACTCGAGAGGTCCCGGGTTCGAATCCCGGTGAGGGCAGATGTTTGTGTGATGAATACGAGCATTTGTACTCCAGTCATGGATGTTTTATATGTATTTCTATATAAATATACTTATATATGTACAGTATATGTATTCTATCCGTTACCCTAGCATCCCATAACACATGCCTTACAGTGCTTACTTTGGGGCTAGGCTAATTGGTGTGAGTGTTGGAAATATTTATTTATTTATTATTATTATTAAACGCTCGCTGCCCCTGAATAGTTTTATAATTATACTTGTAAGAGCTTTTATAATAACAAGTTACAATATTCAATTAAGCTATTTCAATTATTAACCCAAGATTAAAAAAAGTCAACTATTTCGGTAATTTACTAAGGCTTCTCGCTTTTGCGCAATCATCCTATCTTTTTTCAGCAAGATTGAGAATTAATATCATTGCCTTTGTATTTTAACAAAATCCCTATGATTTCGCGAAAATTCGATTTATCAAATCATCCTACGACATACATATATTCAGCATTGACGTCTGTGAATACGCCCTTTAGTTTTACATGTTTTTCAAATTAATTGATACTGTCTTGATAGTTGTGTTCTCTCCATTTTTGTAAATAAATATTGTATTTATATTAAATAGTTATTTATGATATAAGTGTGGTAAGTTGGTTATTACAAATGTGTGTTACCCATCTATTAACTAGTGATTACAAATAGATGATATTGCATCTCTATTGAGTATGTGCTCGATGATGTTACCTTACCCGTCGTGAGATTGTTAAAACCAATTCCGCACGAATATCATACAACGTTTTTCAACACATTTGCGAGAAAACAATACCTATAGGTACCTAATTTTTGTAATGAAGCATAAGCATTTTTTCCAATAAGAAAATGGCGCTCATTTTCTAATGGCGCCATTTTGGCGGGTGGTTTTTTTTTGTTGAAGTTCTCCTGTTTTAGGGAAGGCAAAGGGAACAATGCCCATACAGCCTAGTCTTTAATTAAATCAATCTT